CTGGAGGTTGACTGACACTGCGTGACCCAAAGCACTCACCATAAATTGCATTGTTGGTCCTTCTAGCATGGCCAGCCACCACCCTAAGACTATCTGGTATGGCCAGTCCCCACCCTAAATTGTACTGTTAGACTATCTGGTGATCAAAGGCTCCTAGGCAAACAAAGACACTCCTATTAGGCATGGCATTTCAAGGTTTTAGAGATCACCTCCCAGAAGCTGACGGCAAAGGCCAGAGCTCCTTTTGGGCAAGGTTAAACTCTTTACTACACAAACTCACAACTGTACCTGCCACCCAGAGATCAAGAAGCTGCTACTGCTACCAACACAACTGCCTTCTGACACTCATGAAATTAGACACTGGCATTGGAACACTGCTGCAGAAAAATCCCAAGACTCCATGGCTGTGTTGACACCTCACTGCCCTCCAAATCTTTCTTGAGGAACCTAACTGGTGGAACCTAATTTGCATCCAGAGCCCTAAGCACTAGGGTGCCTGGAAAACGTGGGTTTTAGCTTTGCAGCCTCTGCAATAGGAAGGGACAGTAGAAGGTGGTAGAAACGTGTGCTGTGTGTCAGTAGAACATATCTGCCACTCCTCCCGACAAGTGGGCAGAAAGCAACCCATCTATATGCAGCTTACACCACCCTCGGCTCAGAGAGTTTCACCAGCACATTGTGAAACAATTCAGTCATTTTTGGAGGCTCACATATTAAATTTTCCTGTACCATTAATCTCTCAAAACTTGGGGAAGACAAATAACTATGGCATCTCAAAAACCTGCTAAAAGATATTAACACACAAAATGATGAATTGTTGGTGCACTACACGGAGAGTGGTTAAACATTTGGTCTTCTGAGTTAGTGGAATCCCTGGCTTAAAGCCCAACTGCATCACTTATTAGCTGTGTGACCTTGAGCCAGTTACTTACCTTCTCTGATCTTCAGTTTCCTTACCTCTGCAGTGGGGGAGGGGATAATACCAACCACCAAGGGTTATTGTGAAAATTTCCTGAAATGTTGTTTGTAAAGTACTAGCACAGTTCCTGGAAAATGCTTAAAACTTAATAAATGGAAGCTGTCATCATCATCATCATCATCATCATCATCATCATCATCATCATTGATGTCACCATTATCAGGATGAAGAAAAGGAGAAGGAGGGAACATTTTCCTAGGCCTTTAAAACCCCATCCATCCACTTCTGACCTCAGAACAATCTATAAACATCAATTATTGTGTCATTAAATCTAAAAGGACCTCTCTCTACTGTTGTGGGAGTCACTAGATTAGTTCAGCAGAGTAACTAGGTCGACGTTACCTTGTCTACGAAGCCAGGCAAAACAACTTGCTCTTCTTCCTGTGTTTTCACTGCCCAGAGTCTGTGTGCCATCAGTTAGCTCTTATCTCCTGGCATTTTCCAACATCAGCAGCTGTGATTGCTATCAGGTGGGATATGGAGTCAGGCAGCTCTATTGGTCACCAGCAGTGACCTTGAGCAAATCTGTTCCTTTCTCTGGGGCTTTGTCTCCCCATCTGGACCCTAGGGATCACATTACCCACTTCTCAGGGTTACATGAGATGGTTTTCCCAGCACAGAATAAGTGCTCATAAAGATCATAGTTACTAGAATTTGTGGACATGTCTGGTTCTCCCGTTGGATTATAAATCTGTTAAGGACACTGTGCCTGGCACATGGTAGATGCTGAACAATCTTTGCTAAAATGGAAATAAGGGCTCTGGGCACCTGGGATGAGATGAGGCATCAAAACCAGGGGTAGGGGACTCAGAATATCCCTGAACACATTCCACTCCTCACTCCTCTCCCCTTTCCCTCCTCCCAGAAGGGAACATTTCCTTGGGTTGTTGTTAGGTCACCTACACTGCGTAACTGACACCCTAGCAGCTTTGTTCCTGGTAGATCCAAGCCCTTCTCAGACATTACTCATCTCCCTCCCATCAGCTTGGAGAGGCAGAGAACTGGGTGGTCCAGGATGGTTGTTCCCATTCTACAGATGAAAACAACAAGGACCAGGACTCATGAATTGACTGGGTAGAACCAGCACCTGCTGGGCAGCCTGGCAGGGCAGTGTCGCTTCCTAGTGACTTTGTTTGTTTGAACTTCATGATTGTTTGAACTTCACAGACTGAGTTTCTGCCATGGTCTAGCCAATACCAATCTCCTCTCCCTTTCCCGAAGTGCCCTGTTTCATTACTACCTTTCTGTGTCTTTGTGCTAGGGTTATCAGAGTTGGAGGGGCTTCTGAAAATAAAAAGGGCACTCTGGGAACAGACTATGTGACAAATCAATACAGATCCCATGCACAGATTTTTAACTGGTCTGCCCTGGCTAGGCAGCTGGAAAATTTTTATTCGTTGGGCCTAACCCACTCATGGGTCACCCTGCTGTATCCATGATGACCCATTAGCCAGGAATCCGATCACCTGACTATGACAGCATTTTGAAAAATCTCTATCCCTGCATTGAAATTTTTCTTTATTAGAATTTTCCTCAGGTACTGAGGCTGTGCATTTAAGGGCACATAGAAGTAGATTCAGGGGGCCTGGAATAATTTAAACTCTTTGAGATATTTTTTTCCCTTTAAGAAATGAGACAATGTATGTGAAAAAGCACAGTGCTGACCACATAGTAGGACCTCTTTAAACATTACTTAAACCAGAATCTCCAGAGTCCTAGAGGTTAGCCCAACCCCTAGCTCACAATAAGTGCTCAGTGAACATTTGTTTGGACTGTCTAGATATTTTTGAATATATGGCAGGGCTATACTCATGAACCTTTCCTCTCTAGTTCAATTCTTAAGTTCTAAAGGCCAGCCACAGCTAGACCTCACTGGGCAACCTTCTGCACAGTCTTGATCTTGATACCAAGCTATCAGCTTATCAAAATTCATCAAGGGTCTCTTATGTCCCAGATTTGTATCCCCACCTACAGCATTTCAGGCATGCTTCTCTGTGACGGCAGCTTGGACTGGTCTCCTGCATGCTCGGCACTGGTAGGACATCTCAGCACGTGTGGGTGGTGTTGGAGGTGTTGGTAACCGCCTTGGAACATAGCTGGATTTCAGTCGCATTTAACAGTAAGCCATCCGACTGAGGGTGACGTAACCATCAGCTCCAGAGTGAATACCTTTCAGTCTCACCTTGGAATACTCCGTGCACTGTTGCTGACTTAATTGTGCTTTAAGGCCAGCCAGTTGTTAACCCAGTGTGGAAGCGGGGACATCTCTTCTGCATGTGTATAGTGAGGTTAGGGGAACATGGTTCAATGTGACAGATTTAAGTCTTCTTAGCGTGTGTGTGTGTAGAATGTCTCTCTTAATGGATTCTGCACACAGTCTTGTTGGGGAATTCCACACCCATGAGATGTGTGAATCTTGAGACCTCCTTGCTGAAAAATATTCATCAAGTGCTCACCTGGAGTGTGTGTTTCCATCAGGGTCTCAAGAGGAAGCAGATGACATATTTGAAATAGGAGGGTTTATTTGCAATGAGACTATTAATAGGTATGGGGGTGGGAACCACAGGGATGGAGCAGCAACTTGTGGCTCAGCAGCAGTCATGGTGTTATCATCTGCAGATCTGAGGCACAAAGGGAGGGAGCTGTCACTGCAAGCTGAAGGGGAGGGCCAGTGAGCAGCAGCCTTCAGCTGAGGGACCCAGCCAGCTGGAGGTGACCTTGCCAACAAGGATCCAGAGGAATACCTACCCTCAGCAACCTTCCTCTTTCCTTCCAATCCTCTGTGGGATTTCACACTGGCCAAATCCACCTGAAGCCAGGGGCACAGGAACCTCGAAGTGGTTTGTACAGCTCAGCCTCCTGGGATCGAGGGCAGGCTGGAGAAATATCGGGAGCAGGTGAGGGTGTGTGGAGGGGCAGATGTAAGTCATCAGGCACAATGCTGCACTGTGCAATGGACACGGGGGTTCTAGGTTTTGTGAGCACTGACGCTCACACAATTTGGGGGGTCCACTTTAAGAAAATCATACAAAAATATCTTACTGTGGCAAATAACACCCCCTCCCTCCCCCCAAAACAAACAATGTGAACACATTGTTAAGGCCCTTCCCAGCGCTTTGGAAGGGACCCATGCATGTGAGGCTCTGAGCTTAATGCTTTATTAGCTTCATTGTGAAGCTCCCTATGCCTATGGCTTTGGTGATTTTGTTCTAAAACAGCGTCCCAGTCCACAATAAGCTTATAGTCTCACAAGTGATGGAGGCTTAGACAACTCATTATAAATGCAAAGCAATGAAAACTACAGAAGGTTAGGCAGACATTGAAACAGGCTTTGAAAGACAGGATTTAGACACATGGCAATGGGAGGGCAGAATAACATTAACACTATCTACTATTTATTGAGAACCTACTACGTGCAAAGCACTTTCTATAAATTAGATCATTTAATCCTGACAGGAGTAGGAAACTGAGACTCACAGGGGTTAAGCAACTTAGGTCACAAAGCTACATACAAAGTGGAAGAGCTGGGATTTGAACTGGGGGCTGATTTGCTTCCAGAGCCGGGCCATAGTATACTGAACCAAACTACATTCCAGGGTAGTGGACCAGAAGATGGGAAAACGCAGCGGAGACACTCAGCCAATGCAAACATAGGACTTTTACATCTAACCGTTTGTCAATATACTTATTTAATAAATCAAGCTACTGCGAACATTGGCAATATTTACTTCGGTTCCTAGTGCATTGATGGGTACAGTATCTGATTAGAAGGACAGACTCAGAGGCTGTAGACCACATTTCCCAGAAGCCCTCGGGGGCAGAGACCCGGTTCTTGCTTTGCCTTTAAAAGACTCCATTTCCCAGCAGGCAGCGGGAGCGCCGGCCCACGGCTCCCGGCATTCCTGGGGAGGCGGCGGGGGCCAGCGCGGGCTCCGCCCCTCTGCGCGGCGCTCCCGCTCGCCCCGCCTCCCCCGCTCGCCCCGCCTCCCCCGCTCGCCCCGAGCCAATGGGAAGGCCCCATACTGCAGGGTGTGACGGGGCCGGCGCCGCCGCGGAGTTGCGAGTCGGCGAAAGCGGCGGGAAGTTCGTAGTGAGCAGAAGGCGGCGGGTCCGCGGCTCCGGGTAGGGAGGCTGCGAGCGCCGAGCGGCGGCGGCGGAGGGGGAGG